ATCCAAAAGTTTTTTTACCTTCTTAGGAAATGTGAGATGTTGGTACGAGGTATTTTAGGGAAGCCCAAAGCAAAGCTACAAGGACTTATGTTCAAAGTGGACAATATCATACCACAATGAAGAGTCGTGATTCCTCCGGAGATGTCATTTGTCCAAAAATTCTATGGGATGTGAAGTGCCTAAACAAGAAATGAATTTTTCAAAATAAAATAAAATAAAAGTTTAAACAATTATCTCCTTGCAAAGCTTGAAGGTCAAGATTCGGGAGAGTTGGTGACAGGGAGGTCTCATCCATATCCGGATACAGGGGGAGTCACACAAGATAAAATGTCCAATTGGACGAATTTACCCTCCTTAGTTAACGCACGCGCCAGGGAAGATCGTGAAGAGCCACTCCCTGATCCAGATACATCGTATTCACGTGGCTCTCCCTTGCAAGACAAATCCACCAGTTTCGATAACTGTATCTCTCCCTCCCAAACCAAACGAAGCTGAGAAAAGAAAAGAAGGAGAAGGCGCGGAAAATCGCCAGGAAAGAAGAAAGTCAAGCAATCAAAGAGGGATGCTTTGATAAACGAGCACACGACCGGGAAAGGCCGTCGACTCAAATGGCCGGGACTTCGATAAATGACTTGCCGGACGTTCTCCTGTCGAACATACTGGCGATGGTCTCCGACACCCGGACGAGGAACTCGCTGTCTCTTGTATGCCGGAAATTCTTGTCTTTAGACAGGGCCACGCGCTTTTCTCTCTCGCTGAGGGGGAACGCTGAAGACCTCTACGGGATCCCGACGTGCTTCAGATCTGTAACCCACCTGGACCTCTCGCTTGTCTCGCCGTGGGGACACGTGTTCCTCTGCTCGTTGCCTGATCCCCATCTTCTCGCTCACCGCTTCCGCGGCCTCTTTCCATTAGTCACGTCTCTCACCGTCTATGTGCGATCCTCAACTACCCTTCAGATTCTCGCCCGTCAATGGCCAGGATTGCGCCATGTTAAGCTGGTTCGGTGGCATCAACGGCCGCAATCCGTCCCTGGGGAGGACCTTGCCCCTATTTTCGAACATTGTCGATCTCTATCCACACTGGACCTATCGGAATTCTACTACTGGATTGAGGACATTCCGCCGGTTCTTCTAGCCAATCCCCTGACAGCTAAATCAATTTCGAAGCTAAATTTGATGACAACGTCGTTCACTGATGGTTTCAAATCGACGGATATACTAACCATTACCGAGGCTTGCCCCAACCTCAGCCAGCTTCTCATGGCGTGCACGTTTGATCCCAGGTATTTTGGGTTTGTAGGAGATGAAACTCTGTCCGCAATAGCTACTAATTGTCCAAGACTTAGCCTTCTTCACCTTGCGGATACTTCGACAATGGCGAGTGTCCGAGGAGACCCCTCCGCCGATGGTTTCACGCCAGAAGACGCAAGAATTAGCACAGCTGCTCTAATTGAGCTATTCTCCGGGTTGCCATTGCTAGAGGACTTGCTTCTGGATGTTGCTAAGAATGTCCGGGATAGCGGACCGGCACTAGAGGTTCTGAACACTAGATGCCGGAAATTGAGGAGTCTTAAGCTTGGGCAGTTTCATGGAATCTGCATGGCGGTGGGTTCACGGCTCGATGGGATTGCACTTTGTCTAGGGCTTGAATCGCTGTCGATCAAGAATTGTGCGGATTTAACTGATATGGGTTTGATAGAAATTGGTAGGGGATGTGTGAGGTTATCCAAGTTCGAAGTGGAGGGATGTAAGAAAATTACAATGAAGGGTTTGAGGACAATGGTGAGTTTGCTCAAGAGAACTCTCGTGGACGTCAAAATTTCTTGCTGTGATAATCTTCATACCAGAGCTTCTTTGCGAGCTCTAGAGCCAATTCAAGATCGGATTCGTCGTGTTCATGTCGATTGTGTATGGGAAGGCTCTGGGGAAGATTGTGAACTTGGGAACTTCAACCTCGACGAAGTTGATGAACTTACCAGTTGTTCCACTGATAGTCTCTTTGAGGGGGAAAACAATGGCGGATATTCAAGGAAGAGGAAGAGATCCAAGCACTCCACTGACCCTGATTGTTCCTTCTCCATGGAGAGCAATGGTAGTGAATTATGGAAGAGATGGGATCGTTTGGAGTATCTGTCTCTTTGGATTGGAGTGGGTGATTTCCTGAGTCCATTGCAGTCAGCTGGTTTAGATGACTGCCCAGTTCTGCAAGAGATTCATATCAAAGTGGAAGGGGACTGTCGGGGACGGCACAAACCAATGGATACATTTGGGTTAAACATCCTTGGACAATATCCTCAGCTAACGAAGATGAAGTTGGATTGTAGTGACACAATAGGCTATGCGCTAACCTGCCCATCAGGCCAGATGGATCTCACCTTGTGGGAGAGGTTCTTTCTAAATGGTATAGGTAGCCTAGGACTTACAGAGCTTGATTATTGGCCACCACAGGACAGGAGTTTCAACCAGAGGAGCCTATCTCATCCAGCTGCAGGGCTATTAGCAGAGTGCCTCACTCTGAGGAAGCTATTTATACACGGAACAGCTTATGAACACTTCATGAATTTTCTGCTTAATATTCCGTATCTACGAGATGTACAACTAAGGTTGGATTACTACCCAGCACCGGAGAATGATATGAGTACAGAGATGAGAGCTAGGTCTTGCAGTCGCTTTGAAGCTGCACTTAACAGCCGCCTAATCCCTGATTGACATCAGCACGTGGCCAGTGCTTGTTCTAGTTAGAAAGCAATCGTATGGCTAGTCCTTGTTTTAGGAATCAAGATACATCACTGCTTACTTTGAGATTAGCTGTATCATTTTCACTTAGAGATTTATCACTCTCTGTCATTTGAGGAACCCATTAAACTTTGTTCCAATGCAGATGTTCGAGGAATAACAAACTCTTTAGTCTTTCTGGTAGTAAATTCATAATCAAAAAGTTTTTTTGTGATTGTTCCAAAAGATACGACAGAGCTAGTATGAGGTCTACTCAAAGGCACATAATAGATCGATATGAACATCATGAATTGTCCCATAATAAAACCTGTTGTTGCTGATACTTTATTCTCGATTCCTTCTTCCATTATCCGAGCTCTGAGAAGGAAGAAATAAGATGGCTCTAAAGAAAATTTGGTCAAAAATCCATAATAGAGTCCGACCACCATAACCGAATAATGAATTATTCCGATAATGTGGACTTTTTAACTTTCTACCCTTGAGTAAGGATAGGATAGATACAATAGATTAAGAAAGAAACAAATTGGTGCAGCTTAACTAATTTAATCTATAAGTCTCTGAAAAAAAAAAATGAGATTATCTATCACCTTCAGGAATTTATGAGGTTGTTCTAGTTCTATAGATTAAAGGACGAGTTTTTAGCTAGATGAGCTTTAGATGTAAAGTCAGACGGAAGATTTCATGTCCCATATGGCAACATTAATCATGGTTTCATTGTATAAACCTGACCACCTTTTAAGGTTGAGTCAACCTAGAATCCTTCGTTATCAACAAACTAACTTGCCTAGACAGAGAACTAGGATCATTGGATGAACATTCAAATGCAAACTTGCTATCTTTGTAGCCACTTGAATATCCCCAGATACTGATTTAATCCCTTTGGGAGTTCGAACGGATTTGAACAGATGACTCTCCACCACTCTTTCTGTAACAGCTCAAGCTCACTGCTAGCAGATATTGTCCACTTTGGTCCGTTACGTATCGTCGTCAGACTCACGGTTTTGAAACGTGTCTACTAGGGAGAAGTTTTCATACTCTTATAATAAATACTTTGTTCCTCTCTCCAACTAATGTGAGATCTCACAATTCACCTCCCTTTAGGCCCCAGTGTTCTGGTTTACACACTGCACGGTGCCTAGTTCTTATACCATTTGTAACCGTCCAAGCCCACCGCTAGCAAATATTATCCGTTTTGGCTCGTTACATATCGCCGTCAGCCATAATTTTAAAACGTGTCTCTTAAGGAGAGATTTCCACACCTTTACAAAGAATGTTTTGTTCCCTTCTCCCACCGACCTAGGATCTAAGAACTCATTTTCTTGTTAAGTTCATCCTTTAGAATTTGCAGGATAACCCTTCATCGAACACCTCTACATGAAATATATTGAATAAAACAAGAAACAGCAGCCATGAAGCACCAAATCAGAAAAGTACACGGATTGGAAAAGTGAAGATGCAGAATGAAAAACGTCGAGAGTTTCTAGACAGATGACATACCTCTAAACAGATGGGTATTGCGAAACTCATGAGACATTCCCCAAGGAAGAACTGATTCCAAGTTGTAGTTCAAGGTAAACAGAATACACATTTATTCATAAAGGTTTTGACTACCTCAAACGAATGACAGTACAGACTTCTCCTCTCGAATCTCACCTTTAGAGTAATCAAGTGAGGTGTTGTAACAACCAAATCAAACCTACTCCTAGCAAATAGTGTCTATTTTGGTTCGTTATGTATAGTTGTCAGTCTAACGATTTTAAATTGCGTTTTTAGAGAGGGATTTTCACATCCTCATAAAGAAAGTTTTTGTTCCCGTTTCCAACCAATGTAGAATCACACAATCCACCCCCTTGGAGGCCCAACGTTCTCGCTAGCACACCGCTCGATGTCTAACTCTGATACCATTTGTAAAAACCCAAGCCCACTTCTAACAAACATTGTTCGCGTTGGCCCGTTACGTATTGTCGTCAGCCTTACAGTTTTAAAACGCATCTGTTAAGGAGAGATTTCCACATTCTTATAAGGAATGTTTCATTCCCCTCTCCAACTAATATGAGATCTTACCATCCACCTCCTGGGAGCTAGCGACCTTGCTCACCGTTCGGTGTCTGACTCTGATACCATTTGTAACAGCTAAAACCTACCGTTAGGAGATATTGTCCGTTTTGGCCAGTTAATCAGTTATGTATCGTCATCAGCCTTAGGTTTTAAAACGTGCCTATTAGGGAGAGTTCCACATCCTTATAAGGATTGCGTCATTCCCCTCTTCAACCGATGTGGGGTCTCACAATCCACTCTCTTGGGAGCCCAACGTCCTCGCTTGCACACCGTTCGGTGTTTGACTCGAGTACCATTTGTAACAACCTAAACCTACCGCCAGCAGATATTGTCCACTTTAGCCCGTTTCGTATCGTCATCAATCTCACAGTTTTAAAACGCGTCTGCTAGAGAGAAGTTTTTACATCTTTATAAGGAATGTTTCATTCCCCTCTCTAACCGACTTGGGATCTCAAGTTGTTTAAGCGGGGAAGTTCAAGAATATAATCCCATGACAGGAACAACCAATAAAAGATCAGAGTTCCAAGCATATAGATAATTTCAAATGGTTAGTGACATAAGCTTCATTTAGACAAAACTTCAACTAACCACAGATTTCTTGGTCCAGGGAGAGTATGAGTATAATGGACCGGTTATTCCTCCCCTTTTTGGATTTCAAGGGTAATGATGCAGTAAGAAACAGCTACAGCCGCCAATGTTCAAACAAAAAATATGAACATCAATAAATTTCAATCTCATAACATTTAGTTGAAACTGTTAGAATTGGTCAATCCATTAGAATAGCTTGAAGTTAGTCATGCCATAAGAATAGGCTTACTTCGTTAGTTTCCTATGAAATCGGATCTATTAGTTAATCTTTTGCCAATATAAATAGAATATGTCCTCAATAGTGTGAGGCACAGTTTTGCATAAACTTGATATGGTATCAGAGCACAAATAAGATCCACGAGATCCATAGCCTCTGCTGTTAAACATGTCAATCCCAATCAACACAATGTCTTCTCCGTCGATCAGTCAGGTGATCAGTGTTAAGCTTACACAAGAAAATTATCCACTGTGGTCTACCCAAATCCTTCCCTACTTGCGTAGCCAAAACCTTGTTGGTTTTGTGGATGGATCCATGCCTGCACCAAGCCAGACGATCGCCGTTGAACCAAGTGAAGAAACAGGGAATCGCAAAATTATCATCAACCCTGAGTTCACAGTCTGGTACCCCCAGGACCAGCTGGTACTCAGCCTCATCAACTCATCAGTCACTGAGGAGGTTCTCAGCACGATGGTTGGAATCACCACTGCACGAGAAGCCTGGATTACGCTGGAGCGACAATTTGCTTCCACATCTCGAGCAAGAGCAATGCAGATCCGTATGGAACTCTCTACTATCCAGAAAAAGGACATGACAATTGCTGACTACTTTCGTAAAGTAAAACATCTTGGTGATACACTTGCTGCCATTGGCAAGCGAATAGAGGATGAAGAACTCATCGCCTACATGCTGCAAGGACTTGGTCCAGATTATGATCCTCTAGTCACAAGCATTACAACCAGAACAGATGTATACACTGTCAGCGACGTGTATGCTCACATGCTGAGCTATGAGATGCGGCACTTGCGTAAGGGTACATTTGAGCAACTTTCATCTGCTAACAATGTCAATAGGATATCCATTCGTGGAGGTGCCAATGGAGGTCGAGGTAGTCGCGGTCGTAGTCGTCAGTTAAATAGTGGTCATGGACAATCAAGGCGTACTGTGAACAATCCTGGACGTCAACCATCAAAGACACAAAGCAGCTCAGGCATTGTCTGTCAGATTTGTGGTAAGCCCAATCACGATGCTTTGCAATGCTGGCACAGATTTGATCAGGCATATCAAGCCGAAAATAATCTCAAACAAGCAGCTTTGGCAACAAGTGGATACACTAGTGACACAAACTGGTATGTTGACACTGGAGCCACAGATCATATCACCAATGACCTAGAGAGGCTTACCACCAGAGAACGCTACACTGGCACCGACCAAATTCAGGTTGCAAATGGCGCAGGTTTGTCTATCTCTCATATTGGGAATTCATTAATTTCTGGTTCATCTCTTGTTCTGAAACATATCCTATATGCTCCTAAAATCAATAAGCACCTAATTTCAGTACAAAGACTAGCATCTGATAATAATGCTGTTGTAGAATTTCACCCAAACTATTTTTTGGTTAAAGACCGAGTCACGAAGAAACTCTTGCTCCACGGTAGATGTAAGAATGGCCTATACGTTCTACCGCATAATTTCAGTCAAGCCTTGCTGACAGCCAAACTTTCGAAAGAACAATGGCACAGAAGGCTAGGGCACCCTGCATCTCCAATTACCATTAGAATTCTACAAGATAATAATTTAGCTATAGATACTAATATTCCCTCTTCCTCAATTTGTAATGCTTGTCAATTAGGGAAAGCACATCAATTGCCATTTGGTTCTTCTCAGCATGTATCTACAGCACCCCTTCAATTAATTCACACTGATGTATGGGGTCCATCCATTGCGTCAGTAAATAATTCCAAATATTATGTTTCCTTTGTTGATGATTTTAGTCGTTATGTTTGGATCTACTTTCTGAGATGCAAATCTGATGTTGAGTCTGTGTTCCTTCAATTTCAAAAACATGTTGAAACTATGCTAAATACCAAAATTCGCTCCGTCCAATCAGATTGGGGGGGTGAATACCATCGGTTACACAATTATTTCAAATCCACAGGCATTGAACATCATATCTCCTGTCCTCACACACACCAGCAGAATGGGTTAGTCGAAAGAAAACACAGACACATTGTAGAAACTGGCCTTGCTTTACTCGCTCAAGCCAACATGCCTCTATCCTACTGGGATGAAGCTTTCAACACAGCTTGCTTTCTTATAAATAGAATGCCCAGCCGAACCATACAACAAGACACACCACTTCATAAATTGTTTGGTAAAAGTCCAGACTACTCCATGCTTAGGGTGTTTGGCTGTGCTTGCTGGCCTAATTTAAGGCCTTACAACAACAAGAAACTGAGTTTCAGAACTACTAGATGTATATTCTTGGGTTATAGTTCTTCTCATAAGGGATATAAATGCTTAAATAGAAGTACAGGACGTATTTACATCTCTAGAGACGTGGTTTTCGATGAAAATATTTTTCCTTTTGAAGAATCTAAGCCACCAAACAAAACCACAAATCCACATCATCCTGTTCTACTTCCAGCCTTAGCCAAACTTGCTAGTTTTTACACTGAAAATGCTCTTACAGATATTGAACCAGTTGTTAGTAATTCCCATATGAATGATGGTCAAACTGATAATATTGCTAGTGACAACTTGTCTGGTGTCAGCTTATCTTCTGCAGATAATACAAGAAGTTCAGAGGAAATTGCAGAATATGAAGCTGAGAGCAGTTCGATCAATGCTCAAAACCAAACTCATGAACATGTGTCTGATCAACCAACTGAAGCAGCTAGTCAACATCCAATGCGAACAAGGTTGAGAAATAACATTGTACAAGCTAAACAATTCACTGATGGAACTATCAGATATTCAGAAACCTCAAGAAAATTCGCAAGCGCTGTAACTATCACAACTCCGATCATAGAGACTGCTACTGAACCTCGAAACCTGCAGGAAGCCATGCAACATCCAAGATGGAGAGAAGCAATGAATGATGAGCTCTCAGCGCTAAAACGAAATGCCACTTGGGATCTAGTTCCACCCAAACCTGGAATAAATCTCATTGATAGTAAATGGGTGTATAAAGTGAAAAGAAAAGCAGATGGGTCAGTTGAAAGATTAAAAGCAAGATTAGTTGCCAAAGGATTCAAGCAAAGATTTGGTGTTGATTACACTGATACTTTTAGCCCTGTGATCAAACCGTCAACAATCAGGGTCATTCTTTCGCTAGCAGTAACCAAGGGCTGGAATATGAGACAAGTTGATATCCAAAATGCATTTTTGCATGGAATTCTGAAAGAGGAAGTGTACATGCGACAACCACCAGGATTTCAAGACTCAGCCAAACCAAAGAATTACATATGCAAGCTCAAGAAAGCCCTTTATGGCCTGAAACAAGCCCCAAAAGCTTGGCATTCAAGGTTGACTGGAAAACTTATTGAGTTAGGCTTCAAGGCTTCAGTAGCTGATTCATCTCTTTTTATTCTCAAAAACAGAGAGATAACTATCTATATGCTCATCTATGTTGATGATATAATTATTGTGAGCTCCTCTGATCAAGCAACCGAAAGGTTGATTCAAAAATTGAAAATAGATTTTGCAGTAAAAGATTTGGGTGATCTTGAGTATTTTCTGGGTATTGAAGTCAAGAAAACACGAGATGGTATCATACTGTCACAGAGACGATATGCTTTAGATTTGTTGAAAAGAGTAAACATGGAAAAATGCAAACCTATGTCTACACCAATGGGTTCTGCTGAAAAATTATTCAGAGAACAAGGAATACCCTTATCAGCTGAAGAACAATTCAAATACAGAAGTACAGTGGGAGCACTACAATATTTGACAATGACTAGGCCTGATTTGGCATTTGCTGTCAATAAAGTGTGTCAATATCTTCATACACCTACTGATGCTCATTGGGGTGCTGTGAAGAGAATTCTTCGTTATGTTAAAGGCACACTAGCATTAGGAGTGAAAATTCAGAAATCAACCATGATGTTGTCGGGGTTTTCTGATGCTGATTGGGCTGGTTGTCCCGATGATCGACGTTCAACTAGCGGCTTTGCTGTATTTCTTGGAGCAAATCTAATCTCATGGAGTTCCAGAAAACAGGCTACAGTGTCAAGATCAAGCACCGAAGCAGAATACAAGGCCATTGCGAATCTTACTGCAGAAATGATTTGGATCAAGTCATTACTGAAGGAACTGGGCGTGTATCAATCAAAGGCTCCTCGCCTCTGGTGTGACAACCTCGGAGCTACATATTTAACTTCAAATCCAGTATTTCATGCTAGAACGAAACATATTGAAGTTGATTTTCATTTTGTTCGAGAACAAGTAGCACGTAAAGCAATGGAAGTTCGGTTCATTTCATCAAGTGATCAAGTAGCTGATATCCTGACAAAACCACTGTCTAAAACTCCTTTTACTACACATTGTAACAATCTCAACATGTACAAGACTTGTTGGGATTGAAGGGGACTGTTAGAATTGGTCAATCCATTAGAATAGCTTGAAGTTAGTCATGCCATAAGAATAGGCTTACTTCGTTAGTTTCCTATGAAATCGGATCTATTAGTTAATCTTTTGCCAATATAAATAGAATATGTCCTCAATAGTGTGAGGCACAGTTTTGCATAAACTTGATAGAAACTTCTCAATTTCCCATATGGCTAACTGGCATCGCCGTCAATTCTCGAACGCTAAACAATATTAAACAAGACTATTTGACTCTTCGAACTAACAAATTTCAAACTCATACCTCCATAAATTTCTGAGAAGTGCCGATTCCGAAGTTTGCCGCCGTTCACCGTCAACCAGGCATCAATGTGTCAATTCTTCTGAACCGGAATCCTCTCCTCGGAGCAAATAGTGGATTGAATAAGCATTAAACCTCGCGCATCCGCATCCTCGATCATCGCTCTCATCGCTCGGGCTTCCTGCAATTTAACGATGACGAATTAGCTGATCGACGCCTACGGCAATGCGTTTTACTCGCAGAGAGACAGAGATTGCAGTTCTGCGCGGAATGCCACACCTCCAAGAGGACGAACAGTAGTAGCCCATTTGGGTGCGATAACTTCCCCCGCGCTGAACTAAAATCGTTTTTCATTTTTTGGCTTCGCGCTTTTTCTTTTTCTCTTTTTCTTTTTTTTTCTGCTAAAAAAACATTAAAAAAATATCGTTTTGGACACAAAAAAAAAAAAAAAAAAAAAAAAAAAAAAACCCTTAAATTTTTAAAAGTATTTAAAAATACTTTTTATTGAAAAATATTTATTCTACTTCTTCGTCTGACTACAAATTCTACTCCTCGATGCAAATTATTCCTCCATACAAATTAATGTGAAATTTTTCTTATAAAATTCAAAGATTTTTTTTAGACAAATTGTAAAGTTGATGAATATTTTTTTATATTAATTTAACTTATAAATATTCAAAATTATATTTGAAACCTTCATTAATTTTAAAATTATAAAATTTTAGAAATCAATTAAAAAAATAGAATTATTTTAGAAAAAAAAAAAAACAAAAACAAAGTGATATGTGGAAATCAATGCAAACGATGTAAGATTCGGATTACTTGTTGATCGCTCAAGGCAAGAACATTGTTTGAGATTTGAATCACTTCACAAATAAGATCGATTATATCTAACTTAAATGATTATTGTTGATTAAATATCTCAAGACAAAAACACTTAATTGAGATTCAAATCACTTCACAACCAAGATTTGATAATGTTGAGCTCAAATGATTTTACAGGTAACTTAAACAACATATAATTGCAAAAAAACTTAGTCATTGGCTAAAGAATAGCACAAATGCTTATTCTACTGTATTTTCCAATTCTATTTACAAATATGACATATATGGCTTTATAGAGCTCAAAATGAAACTATTAAAGTCTTTATAAGAATAGTAACATTCACACTTAATGACATAATTAACAATGTAATTGTAATAAATAAAAAGTTATAAAATATATTAATGAAATACTATAACTCTAAATTATTCTAAATGACAATCTACTCAAAATTTATAACATGAAACTCCATTTTTTCTCGAATGAATTGAAATATCTTTAAATAATTTTTAAAATATATCGTACGCATTTATATCACAAAATATTTTATAAATTTGAGACATAATAAAATACAAACATTTTAAAACCAAAATACCATTTAAATTCCAATTAATTATACAGTCAAATCGGATTTAATTTCGAATCGAACCCACGATAATTAAATTTTATTTAAAAAGGAGTATATACAAAAAAAATTTCCCCAAACAAAACCTATATATTCATCTTTACGAACAATTTGTCGTCTTCCATTAAATACAGGTAAACTCAAGTCTGCCATGGCCGTCCCCCGCAAGTTCCACACTGACCCACGCACTAATTCACCTTCTCTCTCTAACCTGTCCCTTTCTCTTTATTATTTTCTCTTTGATTTTTAAATTTTTCATGCATGGTTGGGAACAGATTCTTGGATAAAAGCACTCTCTCTCTCTCTCTCTCTCTCTCTCTGTCGCTTCGTTTCTTTTGCAAATACAGCTTGTATTTGCTCGCTGTCTGCAAGCAGTAGATCGAACTCGTTTTTGAGTCGGTGCGAACATAAAAAAGGCTTCTCTACCTTCATCTGTGATTGCGGTTAGTTTGTTTTGCTACTGCATAGCTTCTTAAAATCAAATTGTTTATCTGAGTTTTATGTTTGATGTTACTGTTCTTCTGCAATCTGGATGAATTAGCTAATTCAAGTTGTTTATCTGATTATTGCTTCGAAATCTCATATTCTGGATGAGTGTTGATTTGATCGTTAAGTTATTGTGAGGGCTGATTGAAGGATGCTTTGAGAATGAATATAAGTTGTTTGATGAAATGATTCGGTGAGTTCCAAGTTCATTCGAAGTGGATTTCCTGTGGGCTTCGAATTAGTGATGAAAAGTGCATCATGCGAACTCCAAATATCCTGTTAAATTTCTTTTAGAATCCTTCAAAACCTCTGTTTCTATTTGTTTTCCTTTGATTATTGAGCTTAAGCAAAATCTTAATTTCTTGTCATGTATTAGTCAGTAGATTAGATAAAGATCTTGTAACTGCCCAAATCCATTGCTAGGAGATATTGTCCTCTTTGTACCGTTACTAATGGTATCAGAGTCAGACACCGGGCGGTGTGCCGCCGAGGATATTGGGCCCCCACCCAAGGGGTGAATTGTGAAATCTCATATCGGTTGGAGAGGGGAACTGTCCTCTTTGAGCCGTTACAAATGGTATCAAAGCCCGACATTGAAAAGTGTGTCAGCGAGGACGTTGGTTCCCCACCCAACGGGGTGGATTACGAGATCTCATATAAGTTGGAAAGGGGAACGAAACATTCTTTATAAGGGTGTGGAAACTACTCTCTAGCGCGTTTTAAAAACTTTGAGAGGAAACTCGAAAGGAAATCCTAAAGAGGACAATATCTGCTAGCGGTTAACTTGGGTCGTTACAGATCTTAGCTGAGGTTGTTTTTTTTTTGCACCAACCGAGCTTTGTTACTCTGTGTTGTGTTTTAATATAATCGAGGTCTTGCACAGGAACTACCACATGGTTTCATTAAGGAACTTGATGGAAGAGAAACAACTGGATTTTGATCAACCTCTTCTCTCTGTGAGGCGTTTTACATCTACAGGAACACCACCAGAAACTCATGAAAAAATCAGACCTGAACCCAAAATTCCTCCTCTTCCTGTATATAAATCAGAATTGAAATCTGGTCCAGTGAGGAACCCTGGAACTGTTCCTTTTGTGTGGGAGCAAACTCCAGGTAAACCCAAGGATGAAGGCACTACAACAACTCAGATTTCGAAACGGCCTCCGCTTGTTCCGAAACTCCCACCCGGAAGAACCCGTAAAGTAAACCAAGAAGTTCCTACTCCTATAGATGATTCATTAGATAAAAATGACAGAGAAACAGTTGAAGAGATGGCCAGTTGTAAGTCGAGAAATGATGATGACGACGAAGAAGACGAGGTTTACAGGGATGCAAACGATCGATTTTATCGATCAGAATCCTTCTTCTTGAATTGTAGTTTTGGTGGAGTAAGTGGATTGGATGGTTTAGAAATTCAACCTCCAGCGGCCTCCTCCATGGATCCACATGCTTGGAATTTCATGTTGGACCGATTTCTGCCTGCAGCAAAGGCAATGGCATCAGAAACATTTCCACATACCAACAGAAAACTAACCGTTCCCATTGAGCAGTCAAGTGAAATAAAGACGATAACGAATGGGAATAGGCAAAGTCGACCAAACCTGCACGTGCAGACAAAACATGTCAAAGAAATATTCATGGAAGAAAGTGAAGATGAAGATGATGATGATGACGAGTCGGGATATACTTCCGCTCGGGGATGTGGTTTTCTTCCTCGGTTTTGCTTAAAGGGCTCGTTCTTCCCTTTGAATCCAGTACCGGGAATGAGAATGCAAGCCACGTCGGTTCGTAGAATTCGTAATAGCTCAATCAAGGTATCATCTCTTTCTCTTATTTGCCTTGTGACCATGTCAAAGTTAAAACTGTTGAATCTGTATTATTTGAAATCCAGAGTTCCAAGGATGCTGTAAATGAGAAACGATTGAGTCATGGTCAAGGAATAACTCGAACTTGGCTGCAGCCAGAAGAAAAATCCAGCAAAAGTAATATGCAGAAGGGGAAGATATTTTCTTTATACAGTCATTTGCAGGGTGAGGGCGAATCCAACTACGCAGATGAACCGTCCCGAGTTGTTCGTACAAATGTAAGTCCTTCTCGTGGTTTCACTGAGAAAGCTATCGATTCTATGACAAAGGAATATGACGAACCACGCAGAAGAAGCCTAAATAGCTTTCAAGCATTACTGAGCGACGAATCAGGTTCGTCTAGTCCAGTCGAGAAAACTCTCTACATAGACTCTGTACATAAGATTAAATCTCCAGATTCAAGTTCAAATTCTTTGGACATGAAAGGGATAAGTGCAAAGCTTACAAGCTCAGAATTGGCTAACAACAAGAAGTTTGATTTGGACAACCAATATCCCTTCAAACCCAGTAAACAAAGTGATTCTAATAGTCGAGAATATGGCAACAAGCACGAGTTCGATAGCAAAAAGCTTATAGGGACCGACATTCATGAAAGTTTCGATGGCCCTGCTCGGTACTCCCCTGATTTGAGAACTTCAGAAGATGCTACTAATGGAAAGAAGGATTCGAAAAATCAATCTCTCACAGGTAATCGACATGGTTCTCACGCCGGTCACTCACAATCGCGGTTGTCTTTCGCTCCACCTCCACCAAAATCTCCATCAGACTCTTGGCTAAAACGTACTTTGCCAACTTCGAAAAACGCTTCGTTCTTGCAATCTTCTCTTGCAATGCGTCTAAACCCCGTTTCGACAACCGTATCTCCCGATCCCATCGAGGAGTCTACCGTTAAAAGCTCCAATTCCAACTGTCTGCATCTGCAGTTTTCAAAGGTAATGGTGCAACACTGCCTAATGATGCTTTAAACATGTTGTAAATTATAATGCTCATAATTTTCTTTGCATCAGGATCTGCTGTCATCCATACCTGAAGTTTAGAACAATGGAAGAATTCCTTTCCAAATTTCACTTGGCTGTGAGTGCTTTTACTTTTCACTGGGTTTGGTGGATTTCAATGTTCTTTTTTATCTTCATGCTTGAGATCAGTGTAAAAAAACAACTGTAAAATGGGCATTTTCACTGTTGGGCAAAGTTGTTTTGCTCTCTTGCATGCTGTAAATGTTACTCATTACTGTAAAGAAACAATGATGATCCATAATTTACATGGAGAATAAAGGTAGTATAGTACGAATTGTTTTATGAAGAACTATTATCTGTGGACCCGCTTGTTATTACTGTTCATGTGATGCTGTCTCAAAGAACCTTGTTTCTCCATAATCATTCATTTAAAGCCATAGTTGGTTGCTGGCTCATAAATGAATCGAATGCTGCACAGATACCATATGGCTTCCTCGGTTGTTCATAAAAGGTTTAGATGAAAAGAATTGAATTGAGGATTTGAAATTTTACGAATTTCTTTGATAATCAAATGTAGCAGAAGAGTCGAATGTTTAAGTCGTTTGAAAGAAATATGTTGTCCAAGCTCACCGCTAGCAGATATTGTCATCTGAAGGGTTTCTTTTTTTAACATTCCTTCAAGTTTGTTTTAAAACACATTTGTTAGGGAGAGGTTTTCACACCTTTATAAAGAATGCTTTGTTTTCTGGTTAGAGTAAGAAACGAAACAAAATCCAATTCTAAAACCTTGAGTAAAAATTCAAAAGGGAAGGATCAAAGAGGATAATATTTGCTAACAGTGGGCTTGAGCCTGTAGTCATATTGCAGTCATATTGCTTGAACTGTTTGAGGTGCAAAATTTTCATTTCATATCATGTTATGTCATTTAAATTAATATTACTGATCGATCCATTATCTTTAGAACTCTAATACTAAAATTGAGCATAACTCAACTAGTTAAACTATATATCATCGTTCAAGAAGTTAAAGATTCAAATTTTATGATACAAAACATTAATGATTTGTTATTGATTTGAAAACATGGAAGACCAGTTCAATATCTTATCGATTGAACTATAATCGACTGATGTTCTATCAAATAACTCGGAATCATGGTTTGGGAACGTCCAACATAGGTGTTTAGTTAGTTGAGTTAATATTACATTAACTTCATCAACCCATCGTGTGATATATCAAATAGCAAGATCAATTGGCTTTTCAATGTAATGTATTTTCATTGATTTGTTTCCGTTGAATACAATTTGAAAGTGTTGAATGTTACGTGTTTGAGGAGCTAAAGCATACTACAAACGAGAAAGTCGTTATTACCTAAAACTACTACTGCGACAATTATACCACAATTTTCTCTCTATAGTCATAGACATGGTAAATTTATAACATTTTAGTTCTTATATTCAAATTTAGTCGTTTTATATAATGAATATACTTTAAAATATGTAATAAGTTGATTTTTAATAATAAAAATTTAATAAAATTATTTATCAATTTTGTAAATCACAAAATCGAGTAGAACCATATATAATAAATAATACTTTTGAGAATATTGATTAAATAAAAATACAAATAAATTTTGATAGAATTCAAATATTCACCGTAGCGCGCACAAGGCCCAAAAACCAAACCAAGTACGCGGAAGATCGCGGCAATGGATCCAAATGCCGCCTAGTTCCGGAATTGCTTGGACACGTCCGCTTTCCATTCCACTCACTCCTCGCCGCTTTCCTTTCTCCCCATTGCACTGCCTTCCTTTCCGCATCCAAAGCCTGCAACAGCAACGGCAACGGCAACGGCAACGGCAAACCCCCATTTCTAAACCGCTTCCATCTCCTTCCGACGGACTCGCTGCCTCTGGACTCAACCTTACTCCCAATGGCTCTGTCGCAGCCGTCGCCGTTGGCTTCCACGTTTCCAGTTCGCGAAGACTGTTGGACTTTGGACGATACTTCCACTCTCGTCGAAGCCTGGGGTGAACGTCATCTCGACTTGAACCGCGGCAGCCTTAGGTATACACACTGGCAAGAGGTCGCCGACGCTGTCAACTCCTGTCATAATCATGAGAGGAAGTCAATTCGTACGGCTATTCAGTGTAAAAACCGTATCGATACGCTTAAGAGGAAGTACAAGATCGAGAAGGCGAGAATTCAAGAATCCGGTGGAACGTACGTCAGCGCTTGGCCGTTCTTCTCTTGTCTCAACAGTCTTATAGGCAACAGCCATAAGTCTTCGACGCCGGCCGCCGTTTCTTACTGTAAAGCCTTGACAGCCACGACTCCAGGGATGTCGCTGTTCCCGAAAATTCCGGTTGGTCCTCGATCCGGGACTAAGAAACGTAGTTTGAGTCACGTCTACGGGAGTTTCTGCAATTCGCACCTTAGCCAGGATTTAAACTCGAAAGATGATGAAGGAAAGGACGGTATGGATTCCGAGAATCATCTCTCGAGTCCGAGGTTCAAGGACCGAGACGTAGGGTACAGGAAACTGGCTGACGCAATAGGGACGATTGCCGATATATTTGAGAGAGTGGAGGTTGCAAAACAGAGGCACATGGTAGAATTGGAGATGCAGCGGATGCAGTTCGTGAAGGATTTGGAGTACCAGAGAATGCAACTACACATGGAGATGCACCTTCAGATGCAAAAAATCAAGTGCTCCAGGCGAGATTCAGGAGCTGGTGAGTCCCTAGCTTCTAACTCCATTGATCACTTTCTGCATCTCTTCGTGCTTTACTTGCTGTATTGAGGGAACTTCAGGTTGCAATGCTTTCCCATTAGGTTTGATTATCCTCTTTGTTTGCTGGATCGCTTTACATCAGAAATTGACGCATATTAGGATCGTATTTCTGCTAGCGCATTACTTGTAGAAGAAGAATTGGTGGATTAGATTATTCCTTAGGCTTTGTAGAGCATGCATTAGCAGAACAATGGTTGTTTAAATCTATATCTTTAAGAGAATCGCCTCACGTATATGATTGGTTACTGGGAGAAAAATCATGTCTAAATTTGCCATAACTTGCTTGTAAATTTGGATTACTCGCTGTTTAATTTATGAGGGTAGGTTGAGTTTGTTCTTTTTAGAGCGGTAATGTAATAACCCAAGCCCACTGCTAGTAGATATTGTCTTTTTTGGGCTCTCCATCAAGGTTTTAAAACGCTTATGATAGGGGGAGGTTTTCACACCCTTATAAGGAATGCTTCGTTCCTCTCTCCTACAACGTGGGATCTCGAACAGCCGAAATTATCTTAAATTTTACAGTTATATCCTTTTGGTTCTCATACTTCCAACTGGTTCGAGTCTCAAGCTTCTATAAAGATTTATGTTCGAGATTAGCATAAGGATGAAACTGAAATTAAAGGATGGAAGTAGGATTAAAGAGAGTGATTCCAAAGCCCAGGGATACTCCCTACATGCACCAGTTCAATCTATTTCATGTTATCTTCTTATGACCTAGTCGTTGAAATGAATTTCGTGTCTTTAACGCACCCACTTCCTCTCCTATCCCAATCCTTGCTCTAGTAATCACAAGGGGTATCCATGAAATCAATTATTTCCCGTTCCGTTTGGCTGTCGTGCGAACTTAGCTGCTGGGAATCCATGGCTGCATAGGGGGGGGGGGGGGGGGGGGGGG